CAGATCAACGCGGGTTGCAGAGATGTGCGGTCTAATAAACAGTAAAAATTGCTTATTCCAGGTGTTAAAGAGAGTATGTTTTCAGGACCATGCACCATAAAAATACTCAATCTGATTAAATAGTTGTCCAATAAATAGACTTCTATACAGATCAATCCGTGGTCCAGTAAACAGATTTATCATTGAGTGATCAGATAAACGATTTACAGATCAATGGTGCTACAATTCCCAATTGCCCTTCGCCAATCATTGCCTCTCACAATCAAATCCAATTCAACTCAATTTGGTACCAATTAAGGACTTATATGTATTTCATTGGCTGATAAATGTTTAAAGAATATGAAATCCGTGCAATTTGGGTTAAAATAAAAATTTCAAGTAAATTACAATGCCGAATACTAATTAGATCTTTAAAATGTAGCATCGTCTTAAGGTCATCTACAAAAATATAAATAACAGAGAGGAACAGAATCCCTATTGAACGTACAAAACAGACACACAGATGATGGAAACATAAGCAAACTGGTAAAACAGACAAATGCATCCACATATACAAGTAGATTCACATTTAATAACGAAAAACCAACAAAAACGGCTAATGCAATTTCGAAGACCAAAATAAAACACATTCATATTCAAGATCAATTATGCATACCATGTGTATTGAATTAAGCAGTTTTTATTTGTTTGGGTCGTCAGACCAAACAAATAATGGTACCCTGTTGTGCTTATTTGCAAAAAAACGAAAGTAATCCAAACTCCTCGAAGCGTTTACTTCCCTTTATATGTACACCAACAAACTCCTCACAGCGGTTACGTCACGCTTTGCTACTTTAACTGTACAGATCAGGGGAAGTAACCGCTGCGAGGAGTTTGGTACACCAAAGCCTAAAAATTAAGGGGATATCACTGCAATGACAGGCGCATTAATTTTCAAGCCTTCCCGGGGAAGAAAAAAAAGTTCCCGATTGGTCGAAGATTTTTACTATTGTGTTATTCTTTATAGATAAAAGCTCCATGATAACAACGGGTTTACAGTGGACAAAATATTTCGAAATTAATAATGGTTACAAATCCTAATTTAGAATAATGTGGTCTTATAGCCAATTTTCTACAGTTATAACACTGGAAACAGCATTGGTGGCACTATACAAAAACAAATTGGTTTATAATCTCACAACCTTCACCTTTCTGTAGGCCTATATATAGAAATTAAAGTTAAAAAGATTTTTTGTCACAAAATAGAGAAAAAAATGAATCCATATTTAAAGAACTTTATTAAACGCCCAAAACGACAAATTTTAAAAATTGCAGGCTCAGTTTGATTGAGCCTGTTTATTGACGGTACTCGAAAGAACAAGTGATGAAAATGGTAAAATTTTGGATGTATATGGTCAATTGCATCGTCTCGGTCCTTTCCGTCAAACTTTGGATAATTTTGTCGTATTTTAGCCTGTGATGTAAATAAATTTAGTTTCCTTTGACCTTATACTATATATGTCACGACACATTTTTCTCACACGAACCGTTTAGAATACGAAACAAAAATGATTTTTGTTTTTATCTAGCTAACTGTCATTTTCAAAGGTGACATCCAGTTTTGGGTTGCAAGAAGTGAATACTTTATGTTTATTGTTTGCATATTTATATATCATGTCATCCTGGTGATCAAGGGGATTGTCATCCTCAAAATGTTCCCTCCCTAATGATCATATGAGCTGATGAGGGTTTACAGTGAATAAATTTATGAATTTCCTACTGTCCTTTTTTGACACAGGTTATCAACGTGGGACAAAGCCCTTCCCTCAGGGTACCATCCCCCCAGGACCCACTATTTTACCCAAATATACTACAATCCATTCAAAATACATGGTACATAGTTATGTGCAGATACATTTTAGTATATAACAGAATAAGGTCCAATGGCTTACTTATACCACGGATTTATATTACAGGGATCGGACACTCCCAGTTAACCCTATATAAATCCTTAAATATCTTGTCGTGCACCCGATAAAGGTACATCGATCGATAATTTATCGGCGCTAAGCGAAAATGCCCGTTCGCAACGGATACCTACTTTACAAAATACCATATAGCTTTTCCATTTATTATCCGATTTTTGAAATTTAAAGTTTATTTTCAAGGAAAATGCTTGTTTAATTCAAATATCTAATTTCTTTTTTAAAGATACAGACTATCTGTCCACAACGACGATTAAGAAATTAACTTGACGAAATCCGCGGTAAATTTACATTTTTTATATAAAAAGCAGATATTTGAAATTTATTATTACGGTAACATAATAAATTCAATTTCAAAATTAATAAAAAAAGAAGCCGATGGAAGTTATTCACAGTTGATCAAAGATGCAATATTTAAGATTTATTTGATTATGTAGTCAAATTAATTGACGTACAATTGTTTTACAGGTAATGTATTGCGGGCTTTACAATTCGCTCAACACGTGAAGTAAATTTATTCATTTTTTTAAATACAAGATATTGCTGATATTGTCAATACATGTATTGCCATTTTCATAGGATATTTAAATTTTCTTCATCATTTAAATATCATTATTATTTTTTTGTAAATCTGTTTTCAAATGTCGGTGCAGTGAAGTAGACAATCATCGTAACAGTAAAGTACTCTAGTGTGGCTGTCTCGATTCCGGCCTTTTTAATGTCACTCGTATATTTTAATTATTTCACTCGTATATTTTAATTATTCTTTTTATTTGAATGCCTGTAGAAAGATATTTCTGATATTTTTTAGTGTAACGCTAAAAAATAATAAAAATCTTTACAGTTTGAGTCAGTATTATGCGAAATAAAAGTAACTGTTGATTATTTTTTACACATCGCTTAAATTTCTTTGAAGTTTAATTACTTTTGATGGGGGTTTATTACCAAGTAACAAGTGATAATTGAAAAACTTTATTTTCAAACTTTCATTATCAGGTTACATGTGATAATTTCAACACTCAATCTTCAAAAACAAATAGAATTTGAATGTACAAAACTGCAGGTGAAAAACATGTTATTTTGCTGTATGTGCGCGGTCTTTAACTACAGTCCATGGCATGTGTGGTAAGAAAATGATTCTGAAGCGGATATATATAAATTCAATGGAAATCTATTTTCTTTATTAACATTCATAAATGAAATTGAAAATAAACAACTTAATTTGTATAGTCCTTTCTTTGAAAAATAATGAAAATAATCATATGAAGAATAAATCATTTGACGTGAATTGTGAAGGATAACTATGAAAAAAATCTGTTTAACAAAAAAAATAATATTATAAAACAGCTGTTCTGTATGCCAATAAAAGTTTCTTCCTTGCCAATGTAATGAATTCATCTATATATGAACGAATGTCTAGAATGATCTGAAAATATATTTAATACACTAATTAGTAGAATATATACTATATTTATACTGATATACAGGTATATCAAATAAAAAATGTACAAATCATTTGGAAATAATTCACAGAAATAAAGACACATTTCAAACATGAATTTCTTTAAAAGTATTTTAGCAATCAAGAAACATTTTTTTGCAATGCCACCATTAAACCATGTAAAAAATAATTATCTTAATCTGAATCGCGGTGACGTAAAAGGGCGTCAAAGTGTAGAGAGTATGCCTAAACAATAGGCAAATATTTTTTAAATTAGGTACTTTTTAACTAAGCGTCGCAGCGTTCTATCGGCGTATTTTCATATATTAATACTTTAGCTGCACAAAATAATACTGTATCAATACATTCATATGTGTATAATTTTTCACAAAGCTGCAATAACACCACATACTCTTGTGAAAATCTGTCATATTTCGCACTCTGAGCGTTTCTCCGTCTCATTCTGTCCACCTTTGTCCGATTCCGCGCATGCACGCGACGGGACATTAAGCTAAACGAAAGTGTCCTATCCTTGTAATATAAATCCGTGCTTATACTCAAAATAATTGCGTCAATACATGTACCTGTCTTCATACATAGGCCTACATCAGCATATAAAAACATTGTTATAAAAATTGTCCAAATATGTTTGCCAGAAAAAGAATTTTAAATTAAAAAAATAAATATGGGTATAAGTGCACTTGATTTGAGCAACGAATAGGTCTTGAACCTGTTTTTGTTTGAACCATTGCGTTACTTAAAAAATTCACTTCAAATGTTATGTATTTAAAAAAAAATAGGAAAAGGGAAATAATACTTAGACAACCAAAGCCAATGAGAATATTTTTTACTTAATTAATTGTATAATATAAAATGCTTAAAAAATAAAGCAAGTTTGAAAGAAATTTCTCAGGTCTTGTTAAAAAAATATTACATATTAGATTAGATTTATGTTGTAGGCCTGATTGGGCATTATCACCAGTCTGGTTAATATCACAGAATTTAATTGAAATTGCAACTTATATCAATTATTAGGAATAGTAGAATCAAAATGAATTATATAAAGTAAAAGTTTTAAAGAGAAATGGCCATAGTATAATTGATCAGTTAATATAATTCACATATTGGAGTGATAATGGTACTGAAAAATTACTTTTTTGTGATCCCTGAATTTCTTGAAAACAGTGAAATAACCACAATGTCTTTTTTTGTGTCATTTTTCCTTTCTTATTTCTGATGCATTTAGTTTTTTAAGATCCTGTAACTCAATTTTTTTATGGTTTTATAAATTATATCATAAATATAATGCTCAAATTAAGATTTATCAATATTGTAAGTAAAGGGAGGTAATCAGAAATTTATTTTCTCTATAGTCTAAGTCAAATTTTTCAATAAGAAATGAATGCATATATTTTAATGATTACTTATAATGTGCACAAATATTTGCAGTATACATATTTTACATATTCTTCGATGTTTGAAAATTGTTTTAGAAGCGTAATGATATACATATATAAAATTTCACTTAAATGTGGTAACAACCTTAATTACAACATACTGGATCTTTAAGAAATAAAAGGTGTATTTTCAGACCTGTCAGTGGTTGCATGATGTCACAATATGATGAAGATATATATGAGAGTCCATTCTTTGTTGCCCTAGAAAAACAACACAAGTCTTTGTTTGATAAGGCAACAGCCAATAGATGGGTGGTAAGAAAATTTTATAAATAACTGGTCAAACTTACTTTATAAACACTTCAATGATACTGATAAATACTTGATTTTAGTGAAGCTTTTAGTATTTTTGTTTGCTTTTAATTATCATGATGTTAGCTAAATCAGGGGCTTTTTTAGCAGTAGGGGGCCTACCTTTAAATTTTGTGGAAAGTAACTAACATTGTACTTTTGCAAAACAGGAAGAAAAAAATTGATGTTTTGATTTTTAGAGAAAAACTGCATGAGTATAAAGAAATTGCATGAGTGGTAGCAGCCCTTAAATGAACTCTTCTATAGAAGTGAAACAAAGTCCTGTTAATTAGGATGTTTGACTTTAGTTGCTGTCCGTCCATCTTCAATTTGAGAAATTTCATTGTTAAATAAATTAAGCTAAGTAATAAATATTAACATAGAAAAATGCAGGCATTTTTCTCTCATTATTTGATAAAGAGGCAATTATTATGCCAATAGCCTCTTAATTTTGGGAAAAGATAATAATTATTGCTAAAATTTATAATTTGGGAAACTAAACACTTGGTGTAAGTTAGGATTATTGGGAAATCTGCATGAATTTAAAGAAAATAACAATTGAGAAGAGGCCTTTTATATCCTAATATAAAATATCCCTGAAATGATTAAACAAATGTAATTTTTCACTGATTATTTAGAAATTGAATTAATCAAATCAATTTTCTTTCAAGATTTGTGTTCCAAAGTTTTCTGCAGTGAAGAAAGATGAATTAGGAACAAAAGATTTTGAGGATCATATATTGATACCAGCAGTTGATAATGACAGTGCCTTTACTACAGTCTCTAAACATGTAAGTTAATTAACAATTTGTGGTCTGAGTTTCTGTGTTAACCCACATGAAGGTTATTAGATCTGTTCAGCAATTCATAAATGCAGTTCATGTGATCTTCCATATCTTCCTCAAAAGTGCATTAGTAAAATAATAGGATAAGATAAATAGAAATTTTGCTGAACACGATTTCATTGGTCAATATTTTATGCACCTGTTGCTGCATATTGAGGCAATTTGATTCATTTTAATCCAACAGTTGATTACATGTTATCATATGTTACATGTTAATCAACCGTGGGTATCCGATGATAAATGTACATTACAAAAATAATGGAAAGGAAGATGAAAAATTGAATGTTTTTTTTAAACTTTAACTATTTGACAGTCAAAAAGTGATTGATCTTGTCATGCTATATTCATTAACTGGGTTTCTTTTTGAAACAAAACTTGATTGCAATCATTTAAAAAACTTAAAATCTACAATCTGATTACCAGGTACATAGGCTTTTATGCTGTCAAGTGTAAATTTTCACATTTAATTTACAAAAGTAACCAAGTGTTTTATATTTGCATTGCTTCAATGGACATTGCAATAGTCAAAAATGTAGCAAGTACCATATATGTGAACATTGTATTGTTGTATTTCTAGAAAGTTGAAATTCAGTCAGGTCAGATCAATCTTGCCTCAGGATTAAAAGCAGGAAAAGTGAGTATAAAGTTCAAAATGGTCATAGTAGTTGTATTGAGTAAAGTTGTTTGACTACAAGTTTAGTAGATGTGAATTTGATCCTTGCTTACCACTATCAGCCTTTTTGATCAGCCATTTTGATTATGTTCCTGTTTATTTGTCATGTACTTGAATGAATGACAAAAACTGTTTAGCACCAAATGACTAAGATAATTCTGAAATAGTCACCTTTATAAATTTCAGAAGTTTACTCTTTTTATGGACAGTTTATGTACCCTGAAGAAGGCTGTTCAGCCAAAATATTGGTGTATTAAAGGGAATTTTAAGAAAATTGCTGTTGAATAATTCTTTTTAACTACCAGTATTTTATTTTATAATTAAGGGAAACTTAATGTTGGTAAATTTAGTCTTAGATTTTCAATTAATCAAGCAGTTGTATTACTTTAATCACAGTCTGAATCCCAAATTCATTTCAATAACAGATATGTATTGTGATGCTGTACGACTCAGAAAGGTCTACGAAATATTATTTTCGTTTGTCGCAATATCTTTTGGCTCTTTTGTACTTTACATAATTCACCTACCATAAATTTGTGCAAAGGCTTAAGATATGCAGCCATAATAAATTCAAAGCAATTGTATTTTAACTTAAGTGGCAAACTTCTTAAATGTTTATTATAAGTAAATGTTTGTTTTTACTTTGTAGGTAGATATTTTATTTGAAGAGACATTCTACAAACACAAAGATGAAAGTTTACAGGGTGGTCTGTGTATCAGGGTTCTTTAACAGGGAAATTTCGCAAAGGTACATCAGTCTTAAATTATTTAAATAATACCATTACAAATTATTGTTACATTATTATAACATTTTGTAAAACTGTAAATACACAGCCATAGGTTTTTAAACTGTCTCACACTGTGTGAAGAAATGTGACAGGAAAAAAAATACACAAGATCAGTACATATAAATTTTATGTTTACAGGAAAACATGATCAGTAGATTATTTCAATTCACATTACAGGGAAAATCACCACATCAAGTTTCATTTTATTTTATGGAATAGTTTCCCAGTTCACTTTAATAAATAATACAATTTATCTTAGAGAATTGATTGAAATTGATGGAAGCTGCCTTAGGTAGTATTCTCATAAAGAATACAGGGACATTGTATCTTGCTTTAAAAAAGCTTTTAATGTTTTAATTCCCATTTTTATTGATTTCACACCATTATAGAAGACATGTAAGCAGTGATTTTGCTTTGCATAAAATAGATAAAGAATATATAGGCCTTTTACAATTGCAGAGTGTTAAAAATTCTATGTAAAATTTGAAAATTTTTTCCAAAAAAATATTTCATTTGATCAGCTGTGTCCAAACTTTTTCATAGATGCTTGGAGTGAAAATATCCTTAACATGTGTGCATTGTTAATCGGAAAAAAAAAGAATTTTTTTTAGATTACTGTACTAAATTTTCCCAATTTATAATGCATCTGTTCGTGCCTGTATGTCTTGTTGTATGTTACATGAATATGTTTTTTTATGTCCAAGTTTTAAGGTATTAGGGGCTCATTTCCTCTTAAAGGCCTCGCTTTCTCTTAAATCAAACAACTTGACTTTTAATTTTACTTTGACACACAGAAATATTTTATGTTGTTTTCACTGATGCAAAAAGGTTTATAGTCAATTGATATGATAAATTACAGTGCAACCTATAAGGAAGAAGTGCTGATTTGTTGTACACAATGAAATGAGCCGCGTCATGACAAAACAAACATAACGGGTTTTGCGACCAGCATGGATCCAGACCAGCCTGCGCAGTCTGATCAGGATCCATGCTGTTCGCTTACAAACCCTATTACAAGTAAAGAAAACTGATAGCAAAACAGCATGGATCCTGATCAGACTGTGCTGTTGCACAGGCTGGTCTGAATCCATGCTGGTCGCAAACCCTTATGTTGGTTTTGTCATGACGCGGCTCAAATTTGATTGCTGCATCCTAACTCTATCTATTTTTTCTATCATCTAGTCTGTCTAATATGATAAGGTTACCATGAAGAAATAATTTTTGATAAGGTTACTTGTCACTTGAATTTGAAGATGGTCTTTACCTGCTTTGAATTTGATATTGATCATTGTTTGTTATACAGATTTTAAGATCTAATATTTAAGCAGTTATACTGAATTAGCCTGCTTTGTTGTGATGTTGTATCAATGCCTATTTTATGCCATTATTTTGAAAAGTTTATTTTTTATTGAAATAGATGATTCATCAGATTCAGGGGATAGATTCAGACTGGAGCAAAATTCCTGTCACCTATGATGAATGTATACATATACTTTGGGACATTCAAGGTAAAATTTGACCAAATTTTCTTAAATTTATTGTTTTTCACATTTGCTTTGAAACTCTAAATTTATCTTGTGAATCTTTGTTCTACCTATTCTGACATTTTTCTCCACAAGTAACAAACATGTTCATTAAAGGAATTTATTATTTAATGATAAACAAGTAGCTTTAAGCAAATTGTTTTCTACCAGACATTGTTATAAAGTTTGTAGACTGGCTATTAATTTATGAATTTAAAGTTTATTTTAGTTTGATTGCAGAACAAGTTCTTGCAAGTTATATTTATCACATTCAAGTCTTTCTGGAACTAACCATGAGGAATCATGATCTTGACCTGAGTAGGGCTCGAACCCACCATCCCTTGGTTGAGAGGCAGACACCTTATCTATAAGGCCACCTCTTCTCTTATATTTATTAATCTTGGGCATATATACATGAACATAATGCTGCTTTTACTGAGATATTTGTACAGACTGGCAACAGTGTTGTTTTTATTGTTAAGACAGGTTCTGAAAACAAATAAAGATAGGCTGTTGTTGAGACGTTTTTCATGATTAAAAAATTTACTGTTTGGACAGTATTGGACCTGTTACCAAAAGAGTGAACAAAAGCTGAACATATATTAACATACATTTGAATTGATAGTAATATATAAAGTATTGAAGATGAATTATAATGCTGTGTTGTAGGTAGTAGTAAAACAAAAGAAAATTTTGACAAGATGTTGAAGATATTTTGCGGGGAGTATCAGAGATTTGAGGGGACAGCTGACAGCATTCCTAATCTTTGCAGTATGTTTATAGTATCACTGTATCATTATACATTTGTAATGTTTTATAACATTAATTTAAAAGACATGATTTGGGTTGATTTCAGTAAAATGTCAGGTGAACTTATCCATTCTTTATACATGTACATCTGAATTCTGGATGATTGTGATATTATTGTATATAAATACATTGTGTCTACCATCTTTTGATGATAAATTGACTCAAAATAATTTTTTCTGTTTGTTGTAAATTAGACAAAGTTGCGAATGTTATTTTATATTTGGTTCTAGATAATTTGTATTGGAAAATACTGATTTAGTGGAAGTAAACGATGCTGATGCTAGAAATAGTTATAAAACATTGAGTAAAAAATTGAATAACTATAGAGGATGATTGATTTTATTTAGAAAAACAATCTTTTGTTATCATATTCTAGGATCTGGTAGCATCCCACGTAACCAAGGCCTATGCAGATTGTACTAAAGATCCACAGATAGTAAGTAACAAGTGCAGTTGTTCATAGAAAGTATAAAATAAATCATGAAAGTATGAAGTAAAGATTCTTCTAAAAGATCAATAATCAGCAAGCATTTAGTGCAGAATGTTCTAAAAGATCACTTAAATAGAAAATTTTTATGCAGATTGTTCTTCCAACATAAAGGGAAAACAATCACTTCTAAAAAAAATTTATTCTGTTTATTTCGAATTACATTGAACATTGGCAGCTATTTACATGTATGTCTGTGAATAGCCCATGCGTTTATATTTGTCAAAGGTTTCCAATAGGTTTTCTAACTTTTTAAATAATTAAATAAAAAAAATCAATGATTTTTCAGATATTAAAAGTTAAAGGTAAAGTAATACTGGAAAAATAATTGCGATTGATTTTCTACAATGAAAACTTGAGAAGTATGTAAATAGATTCTTATTTAAACAATATATTTGCTTTAAGGCATAGCTGACAGGTTAATGTGATTGGCATTGAACCATTTTCCTGTTAGGGCAGCTTTTGGGTTTAATAATTCCAAAAGAGATATTGAATGTTTTGTCTGTACAGTATTGATAAAGTCCGCCATTTCATACAATCTTAGCTAAATAGACAGCTTGGGTCTACATAGCTTGTATTCAGAGTTCTTGGCATGTTTGGTATTTTCCATCCACAATTATGAATTTGTTTTTTAGTTTATTTGGAAAAAATTTGAAAAAAAAACAAACAAAAAAAAACAAGTTTCTACTGGTGCCTAGAACGTTAAGTGAGTGAATACTTTTCAGTCTGTAACTGGAATAAGATTTTCAAATTGAAATTCAGAATATTCAAAGACATACATGTAAATGTATTGTATACAAGTGAAAATATCCAGCGTTATAATAATTTAATTTTGAATAAAATTTATTGCAGAAAAAACTTGTTAAACAAGAAGACATGTTCATGGCCAGTTTAAAGGTAGCTGTTGAGGTAAGGACATGAAACGTTGTATATAATTCTTTACAGTTAACATTATAGCATTAAAATAATTTACCAAACAAGAATAGAAAATGATAATACATACACTGATTTAATTGCTTTAAGTCTTTATTACAAGAATTAAACTTTCTTATTGAGTCAAGAATTAGTATGACAGCAATCAAATTTATGCCAAAATTTTAAGTCAGAATCCATTCAGAATTAATTATTTACTTTTGTAAGATATAAAAGACTCCTGCTTAACTTTTGTCAAGCTCTGAAATGACTCAAGCAAACTGTTCATCTGATAGATCTTGTTAATTTCTAATGTTATCCCTCTTATTAATTGATTCATAGAATAGGGAGAGCTGTTGTATTCACCAATGTGTTGGCATCACATTTTGTATAAGATTTTGCATGCAAGTTGGTATATCCATAACTTCACACACTTATTTGAGAGCATATGTCCAAGGCCCATAATTCTAAAATTGATTTTGACAGAATTATGGCCCTTGCTGAAATAAGATAAGTCTACCTTATCCAGGCTCTTGTTTTACTATCACACACTGAGAATAGTCAACAAGCTATCTTATAGACAGCCCTTGTTTGTAGTTTAATATTCTTCATCTATATTTGCTGTGTTGTTGTTTTTTAAATGTCTTTCATGTAAATGTGTTGTATTCAATGGGTATTATCTGGTATTAGTACTTTATTCTTAACAATTTCACCTGTATTTTACTTATATTTCAGACATATATGATGAATGCTGTACATAAACACTTGTTTACTACAATCACAGCTTGTGTCAAATCTTCGGATGCCCTCATTAACAAGATGACGAGAAACTTGCTAGATATTCGACTTCACAATCTGGACATTAGATCAGAGTTTGAGGAAAACTTACCATATGCTAAGAAGGAAGTTTCCAGATTAAACCAGTTTAGCACTCCACTTGGAAGGGTTCTGTGTTTGAAGAGAGTTGTAACGGCTTTGACAAAACCGCTGTTTAAATCACAGGAAAATGAAGGTATTTTACTTATCTATTAGCTTGAGAAAAATATTTTAATTTTCCTTTCAAAGAAAGTAAAAAAAAATGATAAAAGGATGTATGTGTGTTTTGCATGAATTATATTATTTTGTTTACTCTAAAGTAAGATTATTGCAAGATTTTCACTTGCTAGTAGTGCAAGTAAAAATGGGGATGTTATCTGTTTGATTAGAGATGTTTAGTATATTTATGAAAAAACAAAACAAATTTTCTTTATTTTTTTAGTGCCTAAAAATTGAAAAAATACGCCAAAGTATTTTTTTACTGTTGCACATAAAATGTCTGACACTCAACAACTTTGAGCATATATTTAATTTAATTTTAATCATGCAATGTTATTTGAAATGAAAAAATATAATTGGATAAAACCTAGTATTTAATTGGTAAGCTTAAAAGCCAAATTTTCTAAAGATAAAAAGAAAAAGTTTCTAAATATAGGATTGAGATGTATACAGCTTCCTCAGAAGTCAAAATTTTCTACTATTATTTTATGATGACATAATGTTTACCTTTATTAGTAGAAATTATTGTCTCTATTTGACCTAAAAAATATTATAAAGGAAATTAACTTTTAAAATTTACAGCAGTTCTTGATAATTCCACAGTCATATCCAATGATAATTACTGTATTGAGAAGTTACTACATCAGACTCATTGTTTTGAATGGCTAGCATTTTGCTGCCTAAATATTGTTATAACATGCCATGTCTTACACCAGTTGAGGTAGTCATCATTTTTATTTTATTTTTTATTGGGTTTTACGTGGCACCAACACAGTTTAGGTGATATGGCGACTTTCCAGCTTTACTAGTGAGGACGACCTCAGGTGCCTCATTGTGTGTTCTTTCAGGCACAAACGGGCAACTGAGTAGAACCACAGACATTTCATAAGCTAGCTGGGTAGCTTTCTCATTTGAAAGAATCCAAAGACGCTTGAGTGGCTTAAACCTACAGCTGTGGGGCGTCCGTGGCCGAGTGGTTAAGGTCGTTGACTTCAAACCACTTGCCCCTCACCGCTGTGGGTTCGAATCCAGACAGGGACTTTGGATTCTTTCATGTGAGGAAGCTATCCAGCTAGCTTACGGAACGTCAGTGGTTCTACTCAGGTGCCCGTTCGTGCCTGAAATAATGCACGGAAGGGCACCTGAGGTCTTCCTCCACCAGTAAAGCTGGAACGTCGCGATATGACCTATACTGTGTTGATGTGACGTAAAACACAAAACAAACCTACAGCTGAACAGAAGTGGTTTGAAGTCAACGACCTTAATTCTTACATTTTAGGTTTAATGATGTCCTCTGATGAGCTGTTGCCTTTATTGATATACCTCATTATCAAATCTCAGATGGCTAACTGGTAAGTTATACTTTATATAAATACCTAATATGTATTTAAGAAATAGTATCGGTTTAAGCTGTGTTTATCGGCTATTTAACACCTGTTTGGAGTTTTGATGTGTAGGAATTGACCACTCAAGCCTTTGGCCTTTGTGGTTAATTTTACCACATCCAAATGACAAAACGTTTTCATTTCTTCCAAGTGATCACCCATTTTCCAGATTTTTTGACTGGATAGTTTTTGTATCCTTAAACTACACTGTTCTAGTTCTGACAGGTACTTAAGTAATCAAGATAATAAAGTTTATTTTTCTGCTGTTGAACAGTTGTAAAGGACATGAAATGAACTTGTATACCAGGCAAGCTTAAGCCTTGTAAGAATCATCAGAATTTATTTTTGAAATCTATGTGTATGTCTTTTTTATACAAAGGCCATTTGCTTACAAATAACATTAACATTTTAACAGTGTTTTCCGTGTATTTTCAGGACAGCTAATCTAATGTACATGAAGTATTTCCAGGTTGCCAAAATGACAGAAAGTAATGAGTTCAGGTAGCTTTTAAACCTCATACTTACATTTATCTTTAACCAAAACTTTTGTGAAGTTTTTGCGTGCAAGTTGGTATCTCTAAAAGTACTAAAGGGAACTGGTTTAAACTTCACACACTTACTTGAGAGGGTAATTGGAGGTCACTATTCAAGGACACTAACTGTAACTTGGGTTTTGACAGAAATATGGCCCTTTTATGATTTTAGAAAACTCTACATAATCCAAGCTCTTGTTTTACTATCAAGCAATATATTAAAGCATGCTGTCCTACTAACAGCTCTTGATAACTTCTATTGCATTTCTACTGAATTGTAACAAGTGTTTTAATATTAGAAAATAAATGTTAACTGTTTATTATTGCAGCAAGATATATATATGAGCCGCGTCACGATAAAACCAACATAATGGGTTTGCGACCAGCATGGATCCAGACCAGCCTGCGCGGATGCATTCGCACAGTGATCAGGATCCATACTGTCCGCTTACCAACTCTATTACAAGTAGAGAAACTGATAGCGAACAGCATGGGTCCTGATCAGACTGCGCGGAAGCGCAGGCTGGTCTGGATCCATGCTGGTTGCAAACCCATTATGTTGGTTTTGTCGTGACGCGGCTCAATTATGTCTTTATATATATATTACACTCTTGGTGTGCAAATGAATCTACCCATATGACCAATGCAGACCAAGATCAGCTGGCATATCCATTATGTTTGATTATGGTCCTCACTGTTAGCTATTAAGTTTGAACATATTTTTTAAATTTATCAAAATGATGATTAGTTATTGAAAGTGACAACAATTTAAGATGTTTAGAGTGGAAAGGTTATAACTATTTATCATCCAATATTTTGTTACAGTTTTTACTTGGCAACAATAGAAGCTGCCCTGGATTACATCAGTTCAGGCAATTTGAAGGTAAACAACTTTTACTTTTCTTTTGCTTCTTTTGCTCTGTTAGCAAGTGCTATATTCATATTGAATTAGTATTTTGTATGGAAGTCACAATACTACTTTCTTTACATTTTCCTACCTTTACGACTCATTACTGCACATTCAGTGTTACTTTTGTTGGTTGTTAAACAAGTAACATGCTCTAAATCTATTATTAAAACACTATAAACGCGTGTTAGACATTTCTAAGAATTAAAAAAATTACGATTTTTCTAAGACATAATGTGCCATTAATGTTTGCTCATTGTGTATACATGTGTAAAGAAATCAAAAGGGGGCTTCCCTGGCTGAGTGGTTATGGTTTATAAGTGTGAATCACTTGCACATCACAGATGTAGGTTTGAATCCCACCAGAGATGTAGAAAATCTTTCATGTGAAGATGGTATCAGGAAAACTTAATTTAAATAACGCTTGGTGAGGCAACAAAGGTCATTTATCATTTAAGCTAAAAATTTACTATATATCATTTACATGTATAATTTTGACATGACTTAAAAAACAACAACAACAACAATAATGAAGCATATAGGTGCAAGACACTTTCTGTCAATAATCCTATCTGTTTTTTTTCTGTTAGTAAATTTTATTTATTACCAGAATTATGCATTTTAGTAGCATTTTAAGTTCATCTCTAAATAAGCAACACATTTGACATTGAAATTAACTATGTCAAGACTGTTTTTATGAAAACACTTGACAGTATTTTAAGGGATAGTTGTTGCTGTTGTGTGTATATTGTGTATGCCATTATTGTCATGTTTTTTTAAAGGTCTAAGACATTTGTTTATACCAAATATGATAATATACAAATGAATGTTGTATTATGTAAATTTTAAAAGAAAGAGAGTTCAAAGGGTTGGAGTTGATAAGTAATATAAAGTAGATGTTTGCAGCACTAGTGAGTTTTGATTTTGCAATTAATATGCCCAACAACACTGTAATTAAACTCATTATTGGTTATATTGATTTTCAGCAAGGTAAAGAAACAGGCTTTAGCAGACAGACATCTGGAAGTACAACAACCAGCAAAGATAAATTCTTTCAAGTAAGTCATCCTTTCATCTGAATGTCTAAAGTATGCATTGAATATGATATTTTCTGTTAGTTCAGTTAGTCCATTAATTTTCATTTCATCAAAGCCGTTTTTTTGTATCATCATTTAGTGGGAATATTGCTATAACAGCATTTCAATTGATTTGGGTTGAATTCCACACTTTCCTCCAATATATGATAAATTTGAATACTGTTTTCTAGTGAAACATATTCATACACATCTTTAATAGGTGGGCAAAGAGTTTAGATAAAGATTTTGAGTTTAGCTCATGAAAATTTAATTATTTTGACCCTGGTTCCCTCTTGCAGCTTAAATGCTATATACAGGTACACATTGGAGTCTTTTTTTCTTCTCCAGAAAACTTTATATAGAACCACAATTTTTCATTAACAGTTTTGTTTCAATTAAAAACAATTCTAACACTCCTTGTGATTTTGCACTATAGACAAAGAAGAAAAAAAAAGGTGTTAAACTGCCATTAAACATTGGTTAGGGACTTCTTGTATATGCGGCTGTTATGTTTTCTACCTCGATTATATAGTTTACAAACCCTTTTAAAGCAACAATAAAAAAGCATTTTTTTATAATTCAGTTATTATAATGTTTCGTTTTCATACAATACCGAAATAATATTTCATATACACTACGCCAAATATTTGATCCATAACAATTAATAAATATTTTAAAAGAATGGCGCCAATCCGTAAGCAGCGAAATGACGTCACCCTAAGTAAACAACCCATTCATAAACTCAGACGTCAGTTCAAACATACAAGATTGATAAATGGGGCACTGATGTAAACACAATCCATTGTAAGACGTAAGTTTTTATTGTTGAAAAAAACCGTATTTTTCTTATAATTGCTTTTGTTTAATAATTTCTTTATCGTAGCAACAATAGGGTGTGAAATGGAACATCGTTATACGAGAATCGGCACTGGAAGTTATTTCTGCTTGGAAAAATAACATTAGTGATCTTCCTTATTTTATCTTGTTAGAATAAAAATAACATCGGTCGTAGCGGTGTTTACCGGCTATTTAACACCGGTTTTGTCGTTTTGATGCGAAAAAATTAACCACTTGGGCCTACGGCCTTCGTGGCCAATTCCTATCCATCAAAACTCCAAACTGGTGTTAAATAGCCGATAAACATAGCTAAGACCGATGTTATTTCTTAATTAAATTTTATACATGGTATCATTGTTGACAAGTAGACAATCACAACTTTCTGCAATAAGTCATTGACACGACAAACCTTTGATTTATTTAAAACATCTTTCAGTATGTCCAGTATGGAGATGAAGCTGCAGTAAGCCTGATGTTGAAGAAACATAAACCTACAACTGATGATATCTCCACTAAGCTGTGTCACCCTCTATGTACATGTGATAAATGTTTTGAAATTACAAGTCAATCTTCACAAAACTCTGGGGCTGTCTCCTCCATAGCTAGAGATGATATGGGTAGAACAGGTGATTTTATATTCTTTACTGACATGTTTTTGTTTTGTGTAATGATCTAAGTTAAATGTTTTTGTTTTGTATAATGATCTTAGTAAAAAAAATCTGTGAAAATGTGTAATGATCTTAGTGAAAGAATTTGTGAAAATGTGTATTGATCTTAGTGAAAGAATCTGTGAAAATGTGTGAAAGAATCTGTTAAAATGTGTAATGATCTTAATGAAAGAATCTGTGAAAATGTGTAATGATCTTAGTAAAAGAATCTGTGAAAATGTGTAATGATCTTAGTAAAAGAGTCTGTGAAAATGTGTAATGATCTTAGTAAAAGAATCTGTGAAAATGTGTAATGATCTTAGTAAAAGAATCTGTGAAAATGTGTAATGATCTTAGTGAAAGAATCTGAGAAAATGTGTAATGATCTTAGAAAAAGAATGTGTGAAAATGTGTAATGATCTTAGTGAAAGAATCTGTGAAAATGGACGTAAGAAACATTCAGTATTATAATACATTTAATTATTAATTAATTAATTAATTAATTAATTAATTAATTCAATGGTTCTATTACACAGAGAGCATGTTACTAAAGGAATATGTATGTTTGATATCTTCAGCTTTGCATTTAGCAGCATTTAATGGTCAGGGATCTTTGATAGACATTCTTTGTAAACATGGGTGTCTCACTGATGCTACAGATTATCTAGGTTGTACACCACTACATCTCGCTGCACAGAAAGGCCATCAAAATATCATTGTAAGTATTATAATAGAGGGTCATATTACAGTAAGTTTTACAATTGTAGTCAGCTACCTTAAATGTGAAATTTTATGATTATTTTGAAGGGTAAGATTCATCTAAAAAAAGTTTAATGTCAAACTTTCTTTGAAGTAATATCCCACCTCAGCATTTGTTTATTTGTTTTGTATTTATGGTTTTTATGTCAATTTTAACACTTGTTTAGCAATATCTGTATGGTCAATCCACCTAACTGACTTTCCTGGATAACTTACCAGTATTGAAAGGACCAACTTTTAATGCCATTTAATGAGAGATAAATGACTTTTAACTCAATGTCTGAGATCAATTATCATGGAGAAATTTTGCCTCTCCTAAGGATTGAACCAGGGACTGCTGGGTTACTTATTCAACGCTTTCCCTTATTGAGCTAAGTGGTCAGACTCTGATCCACAGGAATAATATGAGTATCCTTCATTTAGCTTTTTTTTAATTTTCAAAAAGTACATAAATATCAGTTTAATACATGGAAATAGAGGATATTAAATGAGTGTAGTTTAATACTAAATTTATTGAACGAGTTGAATAAAATCATATTATGCGAGCCTCTGGCGAGCATAATATTGTTTTATTCAACGAGTTCAATAAATTTAGTATTAAATATACACAAATATAATATTCTATTTATCACATATATAAAATTAGAACAGTAAACTGTTAAAATGAGTAATTTTTCAATGACGCGCCCATAGTGTAACGCTAACATTAGCGCGCTTTAACGCTATGTTTCTATATAGCGCAAATGACGTCACGTCAAAGTGTTATTACACTAGTGTAATATCGTTTTTATTAAATGGCTTTATTACACTCCTGCGTCGCGGTTTATGTGATAAAATAAATTATGATTTTGTCATGTGAATATGAAATTTTTAACAAATTTAGACAGCAAGTTTAATGATAATATTACAGTTGCTGTTGGTACATTTTGGTGCTGATATTAGTGCTGTAGATAATGAGGGAAATACATCACTACATTTATGTGCTAAAAATGGTCATGAAGATGTAAGTTGGTAACTTTTGTTTTTTGTATGTTGTTTTACAGTTGTTTTATTTAAAATTCAATTGAAAGTTGTATGTTTTACTTTTAAGACTGATTAAAACTTTTTAAAAATGCTATTTATAGTACCTAAATGATTGTTTGTAGGAAATGTGAACTTTTTTATTCAATCTATTTGAAATATGTACAGAATATAATTAATAGTTTAATAAATTACTTTTACATGTATATGAAAGGTTTATTTTAACATTGTAAAAAAGCTTTAACCTGACACTACTGCAACCAAAAGTGGCAAGTCAAGTACAAAACTTTGAAGTCTGACCAGGCTATTTACTGTTGACTGTCTAACTTTATATTTCATCTTGATATCCCCAAAATTGATAATGGACAGTTCCGTAATGGGAGCTGGACAAGTCCATTTCAGAAATTGAGCAAGTTTAGGGTTAAACTGCATCTGTATGCAATTTGACACTGATCTGTTTTGATGGTTTAGGAAAAGAAATCTTTCCTCATGTATGAGGTATATTTAGAACAATTTTAATGTAATTCTTAACTCTTCTGTATTTCAGTGTGTTAAAGCAATACTATTTCTGGACATATTGAAGAACAAGTTAAATGTGAATGCACAGAATGATATGGGAGATACACCGTTACATATGGCAGCTAGATGGGGCTATGGTGAGCCTCTTACTCTTGTTTTGTTGTAATACGATCATTTTCTATTACATACATTTTCTTTGTTGAAGATTCATTTTAGTATATAGATATTCTAAATCTGTCCAATACCTTATCTAATGTAATTGTTCAGGAATAAAAAAAAAATCAAACAAACCACAACAGATAGCTTATGAATATTTTTCTTTTCTCTATTGTAGATGGTATAGTAAATTTTCTGCTGGAGTCGGAGGCGGACCCTCGTGTGAGGAACAGGAAACGTCAAACACCTTATAATGTTGCTCAAAATGCTGACATCAAGAAAAAGTTACAGGCAGTCCTGAATGACCCTCCGCCTTTAATTATTAGACAACCTGTGGTAATATTCCATACTATCATTATATCATCACCAAGCAATTATATATTCCATATCATTGTTATATCATCAGCAAGCATTTGTCATTTGAAGAATGTGATTAAAAATATGCAAAAATAGAAAACAATCATAAATGTCTTTCTTACATTATTTTGCATAAAAATTTCTGTTCTTGCCATTGTTTTTTTTTGCTTTCCTTATTTTACATTACATTTTCCTTTACTTACAATGGGTTTTGTGTGTGTAAAACTGTAATTAAAGAAATTATGAGTTTATCCTAGGTTTTCAAATTACTTTTATTTATATAAAATGTAAGCTGTAATGTTTTAATGAATGCACATTTTGAAAATTATATAGAGGATATTTGTTTAGTTCAGTGTAAGATCTGAATATATTTCACCGAGTGAGCACCAATTCAATTCAATATCTTTATTGTACAAGAGGCCTCCGGCCCATACACAGTGTATACAATATATACAAATTGGCAATATGAATTTCTAATACAATTATAAAGTACAATCTGAATATAAATTATTCAAAACATTTAAGGAAATTATCCCTTTCTTTCATTGCATAATACATAAACATAGCAACATTACGTATCAATGACTCGTCTTCAGTTGCCATCAAAGAGTAGAACTTTTCAACATTAGGATATTGATAATAATACAATGGTATATAGTAAGAACGTAAATTTGCCAAAAGGTATATTTCACGAGTGGCACAGCCACAAGTGAAATACGAACTTTTGGTGTTCACAAGATGAAATATACTTCAATCTTACACTTAACTAAACAAATTTTCTTTTTATTATATGCACAGAAACGTTTAAAAAGACATTTTTAACCTAATACTGAATGAAAAGCGCTCCAAATAATAATACAGTGTGACGTCATATATGACGTCACACCATTAAGTTGGTTTTCAGTACTGTGGAAGCTGGTATTTCACTGTTACAACATAACAGGCTTAAATTCATAACAGTGAAAAATATCAAATTAATATTTTCACTGTTTTGAACAGTGAGAATATCAGTTTTATATTTCATCCATCTATTATAAACCACCGAAAAGCATAAAATAAATATTTTTATTAGTTGCCATAAATTACTGTTAGAATGCAAATTGCAAATACTCTTCTTCCACCTGTTATTCATGCATTTGCTATGAAAGCATATACTTTCTTCTTATTATAGAAGCCAGCAACCTTGCCTGTTCAAAACCATGTAACAAAGACTGCCCCAACCTCAGCACACATCCCTACCCCCTCCTCCACCCCACAAACTGACCTAGGTAGCTCTACCAGACAAACACAGGATAAGGTAAGTAAATATGGACATGAAATATATAAAATACTAATACTGTTTTGCTGTAAATATTCCAAAAGTGTACTCATTATTTATCCCTGTCCCACTTTACATATTGACAGGCACATGGAAGTGCAACAAGGCAGTGTTTAAGGGTCAAAAACAGGGCAGATGGAAATAAGGGCAGAATGGTTCAGAAAGGCCCATGCCCTTCCATTCCCCTCTAGATTAATCACTATTGTCCATTATTTTTACAAAATAGATGTTGAAATATAATCATACTCATACTTATTGCCAGATGTATTTATCTTTTTGCAGATACAGTATATCAGGTAAATTTCACATAAGGCAAATTTTGCAATTTTGGCAATAATCTAATTTTAGCGAATCTAATTTCAGCGATTTTCTTGTACATGATTCTTTATTTCACGTTATTATGCTAGCAAAGGTATTCCAATCCATTAGTTTGAGATTTTTTGTTTAAATTAAGCAAATCTATTTTTTGCGATATTCACGTGAATAAAGAGGAAATTAGGTACTTTGGGAAAAAAACCTGATATACAGTAATTAAACAGTATTAGTTTAAGTCATTATATAGAAAGTTGAAATGCTGAAGAAGAGTGTACGGCTGACTATCATTAACCTTAAGCAACAAATTAACATAGTCTGTTATAGTGTATATTTTGTGTCCGATCTAGAACTTCTTCATAGTTCAAGGAATTTTGAAAAAACTTGGCACAAATAGTCACAATAATAAGACAATGTCAAGTACAACACCTGCATCCCTACCTCCAAGGTCAAGGTTACACTTAGAGGTCAAAGGTTAACAGAGTCTGTTATATGATATATTTTGTGTCCCGTCCATAACTTCTTCATAGATCAAAGGATTTTGAAAATACTTGGCACAAATAGTCACAATGATAAGATGATATGTCACGCGTAACACCTGTGTCCCTACATCCAAGGTCACTCGTAGAGGTCAAAGATAACTGATTCTACCCATGTAAACAGTGCAGACCAAGATCAGCCAGCACAACTCTGTCATCCAGTCATGGCCTGCACTGATTGCTATTAAGTCACTACATATTTGGAAATTATTCCTAAAAACAATTGATGGATTTGTCTATATTGAAAAGTGGACAAGATCATGTAAGAAATTTAGAGTGGTATTAAGTGTTAAATCTGTGACAGCTCTTCACATATAGACATAGAGATTCCTGTCTCTATAATGTTAAAGTGACATTATGTTCATTTTTTCACTGTCAAGTTGACTTGAATTTGTAATGCATTCTAAGAGATTTCCTAAAATAATTGTGATGGACCCATAATTGATAATGAAAAATGTGTAGGATAAAATATAGAAATATAAAATCTACCAAAGTGTAAAAAGACTGCCCCACTCTTTTTAGCTCACCTGTCACAAAGTGACAGGGTGAGCTTTTGTGATCGCTTTTTGTCCGGCGTCCGTCCGTCCGTCGTCCGTCCGTAAACTTTTGCTTTAAATGACATCTCCTCATAAACCACTGAGCCAATTTCATCCAAACTTCACAGGAATGTTCCTTTGGTGGTCACCTTTAAAAATTGTTCAAAGAATTTAATTCCATGCAGAACTCTGGTTGCCATGGCAACCGAAAGAAAAATCTTTAAATATCTTCTTTTAAACAACCCTAAGAGCTAGAGCTTAGATATTTGGCATGAAACATCTTCTAATGAGTGTCTACCAAGTTTGTTCAAATAAAAGCCCTGGGGTCAAAATTGGCCCCGCCCCGGGGGGTCATTGATTTTCCTTATATGCATATAGTAAAAACTTAAAAAATCTTCTTTTAAAGAACCCAAAAAGCTAGAGCTAAGATATTTGGCATGGAACATCTTCTAGTGAGTGTCTACCAAGTTTGTTCAAATAAAAGCCCTGGGGTCAAAATTGGCCCCGCCCGGGGGTGGGGGGGGGGTCATTGATTTTCCCTATATGCATATAGTAAACACTTAAAAAATCTTCTTTTAAAGAACTGTAAGAGCTAGAGCTTAGATATTTGGCATGAAACATCTTCTAGTGAATGTCTACCAAGTTTGTTCAAATAAAAGCCCTGGGGTCAAAATTGGCCCCGCCCTGGGGGGTAATTGATTTTCCCTATATGCATATAGTAAAAACTTAAAAATTCTTCTTTTAAAGAACCCAAAGAGCTAGAGCTTAGATATTTGGCATAAAACATCTTCTAGTAAATGTCTACCAAGTTTGTTCAAATAAAAGCCCTGGGGTCAAAATTGGCCCGCCCCAGGGTGTCATTGATTTTCCCTATATGCATATAGTAAAAACTTAAAAAATCTTCTTTTAAAGAACTGTAAGAGCTAGAGCTTAGATATTTGGCATGAAACATCTTCTAGTGAATGTCTACCAAGTTTGTTCAAATAAAAGCCCTGGGGTCCAAATTGGCCCCGCCCCAGGGGGTCATTGATTTTCCCTATATGCATAAAGTAAAAACTTAAAAAATCTTCTTTTAAAGAACCCAAAGAGCTAGAGCTAAGATATTTGGCATGAAACATCTTCTAGTGAATGTCTACCAAGTTTGTTCAAATAAAAGCCCTGGGGTCAAAATTGGCCCCGCCCCGGGGGTCATTGATTTTCCCTATATGCATATAGTAAAAACTTAAAAAATCTTCTTTTAAAGAACTGTAAGAGCTAGAGCTTAGATATTTGGCATGAAACATCTTCTAGTGAATGTCTACCAAGTTTGTTCAAATAAAAGCCCTTGGGTCCAAATTGGCCCCGCCCCAGGGGGTCATTGATTTTCCCTATATGCATATAGTAAAAACTTAAAAAATCTTCTTTTAAAGAACCCAAAGAGCTAGAGCTAAGATATTTGGCATGAAACATCTTCTAGTGAATGTCTACCAAGTTTGTTCAAATAAAAGCCCTGGGGTCAAAATTGGCCCGCCCCGGGGGGCATTGATTTTCCCTATATGCATAAAGTAAAAACTTAAAAAATCTTCTTTTAAAGAATCGTAAGCGCTAGAGCTTAGATATTTGGCATGAAACATCTTCTAGTGAATGTCTACCAAGTTTGTTCAAATAAAAGCCCTGGGGTCAAAATTGGCCCCGCCCCAGGGGGTCATTGATTTTCCTTATATGCATATAGTAAAAACTGATAAAATCTTCTTTTAAAGAACCCAAAAAGCTAGAGCTAAGATATTTAGCATGAGACATGTTCTAATAGGTGTCTACCAAGTATGTTCAAATAAAAGCCCTGGGGTTAAAACTGGCCCCGCCCCGGGGGTCATTGATTTTCCTTATATACATAGCAAAAACTTAAAAATCTTCTTTGAAAAAACCCAAATAACTAGAGTTTAGATATTAAGCATGAAACATCTTTAAGTAAATATCTTCAAAGTTTGTTCAAATAAAAGCCCAGGGGTCAAAAATGGCCCTGCCCGAGGGGTGTCATTGTTTTTAACTATATGTGTATAGTAAAAACTTAAAAAATCTTCTTTTAAAAAACCCAATGAGCTAGAACTTAGATGTTTTGCATGAAACATCTTCTTATGGGTGTCTACCAAGTCTGTTCAAATAAACAAATAAAAGCCCTTGGGTAAAAATTGGGCCATCCTATATACAGGTGAGCGACCTCGGGGCCATCATGGCCCTCTTGTTAAATATTGAACATTTTCAATATAATATTATTGTGAGTGATATTTATAGACATTTCCAGGGGTTACATGGATTATTGATTATTTCTGCATTTATGACAAAAACTTTTTTTTTTCAATTTTACCTGTGCACTCACCATTTACACTTTTTAGCTCACCTGTCACAAAGTGACATGGTGAGCTTTTGTGATTGCTTTTCGGCATCCGTCCATCCATGGTCCGTCCGTAAACTTTTACTTTAAACAACATCTCCTCATAAACCGCTGAGCCAATTTCATCCAAACTTCACAGGAATGTTCCTTTGGTAGTCAACTTAAAAAATTGTTCTAAGAATTCAAGAATTCAATTCCAAGCAGAACTCTGGTTGCCATGGCAACCGAAAGAAAAAAACTTAAAATATCTTCTTTTAGAAAACCTTAAGAGCTAGAGCTTAAAAATTTGGCATGAAACATCATCTAGTCATTGTCTACCAAGTTTGTTCAAATAAATGCCCTGGTGTCAATCAAAATTGGCCCTGTCCGGGGAGGGGGGGGGGGGGGGGCATTGATTTTCCTTATTTGTATATAGTAAAAACTTTAAAAAATCTTCTTTTAAAAAACCAAAATAGCTAGAGCTTAGCTAGTAAGCATGAAACATTTTTTAGTGGGTGTCTACCATGTTTGTTGAAATAAAAGCCCTAGGGTCAAAATTGACCCCATCCAGGGGGTCATGGTTTTCCCCTTTATGTATATAGTACAAACTTGAAAAATCTTCTTTAAAAACCTTTAGAGCTAGAGCTAAGATATTTAGCATTAAACATCTTCTAATGGGTGTCTACCATTTTTCTTCAAATAAGGGCCCTGGGGTTAAAATTGGCCCCGCCCCGGGGATCATTGATTGTCCTTGTATGTTTATAGTAAAAACTTAAAAAATCTTCTTAGAGCTAAAGCTTAGATATTTATCATGAAACATCTTCAAATTGGTGTCTACCAAGTTTGTTCAAATAAAAGCCCCTGGGTTAAAATTGGCCCCGCCCAGGGGGCCTATATACAGGTGAATGATTTCAGGGCCATCATGGCCCTCTTGTTTACAGGTATAATGTCACTTTAACAAAGTTAAATTGCAACTTCAAGCATTAAGATTATACCTTTTCTTTAATAACTAGTATTTGACAACATGTATTTTACGAATTGTGTTCAATTAAAAAAAAAATGCTTTCATATGTTTAATTTTAGACACCCCTTGGATTTGAAGTAATAGATGTGAAGGTTAGACCTCCAATACAACTGGTAGATAACTCTAGTAGTGAAATGATGTCCCCAACTACACCGGCAGTTGCCTCCCTTGATCAGACAGATTTGAAACAGATTGAAAAACTCTACAAAGCAATAGCAAGCAGGGACTTACCTTTGGTCAGTGTTAGATTTATTATGCCTCAGAAATATGACAGAGATAACTCATTGAACACATAATATTAATTGTTGGACTTATTTTTGATATGTTTGAAATAAGCTTTAGTGATGATTTGCCAAATTAGTTTAAGTGCAGACTTAAAATTACTAGTCTGTATTCAATGTTGGTGTGAATACTGCTAGGGATGTGTCTTTCTTTCTTGTGAGGAAGTTGTGAACCTTCCTTACAGAAGAAAAGTTGTTCTACACAGATACCTTCTCTTGCTACAGCTGACAAGTATAAAGAGAATCATTTAAATTTGATCAGCACTTAACTTTAAATCTAACCAAACATAAAATATATTGCATGTCATGTGCAAGATCTGTATGTGGACATTTTTTCATTGTTAATTTGAAGTTGTGTATGATTTAAAATGTTAGTGTTTGAGGACATGTAACTAATTTAGTATTATCAATTCCAATATTTGTGGAGAAGCTCCTTAATTTACAAAATAAGTTTTATTAAATGTTTTGAATGAAAATTAAAGAAATACATTATAATGTTGGTAACTATATACTTTGTTTCTGAGTAGTAAATATAGTTTATAATTATTTCAGGTGGAGTATTATTTTGGCTGGGTAGATTCATCCAGTTCATCAGAAGATAGTCCTGTTTCCCCGCCGACAACCCCAGTACTAACAGAGAATATAGCCGCCAAACTTTGCCACCCATTGTGCCAATGTGATAAATGTAAACATATACAGAAAGTAGGTGTTGTTTTATTTCTTATTTTTTATGTAATAAAATAAAATAAAAGTTCTGTTTGATAGATGTTTTATGCTTTTACATGGAATAGTTATTATTTTATGGTAGTTTTGGTGATTGAAGGTGATTGTTTAAAACTGCATGCCTCCAGATGAGCCAAAATATTTCAAGAAAGTCTTTTTTGGTAATTTACAACGATTGCAAATGCTGTTTGCAGTGTGTAAATTAATTTCTTTGTTCACTTAACAGTATTTTAATTTCAAATAAACTTTAAAAGTTTTCATGAAAATTATCATGAATCTTGAGTCATGCTGCTTTAATGGTAAAGTGTCTGATCCTACACAAGTTTATCACACCTGTGTCATCGTCATAAGAGGCCAAAATATAGCAAGCTAAATTTATAAAGTAGGCAGAAATAATCAGGAAAGTGTGTTAGGATGTGTGAGCCCCCAGCACAGAGAGTGATGGCTTGAAAATCAGGCCCTTTGCTGGCATAACATCCATTTTCAGAGTTACCTCCTTTTCTTATTGTCACAGGTTACTGTACATTTACGTTGTCATTGGCTGCCATACAGTGACCTACTTTTAGCTCAAAATTCTTACCTTTTGGCTAATAATCCATGGAAATTGCATGGAGGTAAATTATCACCACCTTGTACTTTAAAATTAACCCTTTAAGGGTCAGTACTCGACAGTAAAAAACTGCATTTAGTGCTTGGAAGGGTTGATAGACCCCCCCCCCCCAATTAAGCATAGACTTCATCATCATCATCATCCAACTGCTGAATAAATGAAATCCTCTAGACAATACTTAGATTTATAAATTTATACAAAATGTATTGTAGTGTGTTAGTGTAGGAAGCTATGAGCTTATTGAAAAACTTTTGAATCCCTTCCTGGAACTAATCAGTACTTGTTCAAGAAAATGTTGACTTGCTCTTAAAGTGGCTTGAACCCATGAGCCTGAATTTATTGGTTCATTTACTACACAATATTTGCATCTCATTTATAAATCTGCATTTTTTTAGTCATTTAGATAAAGTTTGTGTTATTGAAATTTAAAGATATACTATGCTCATCTTTGAGTAAAATCTCTTAATCGAAGAAATTTATTAAAACCTATGAAATTCTTACTGAATATGTCTAATTTAAATGAAAAATGATTAATAAACTATATTGGAAGTCACATTCTCTATTACAGGACAAGTTAAGTTGGTCTTTTCTTTAAAAAACTGCCAGTTTTTTTAACGACACTATATATTCATATTGTGACGACCTATGTGTGTGGAGTTTAAAACATCACATATTATCTTTGTGTAAAGTCAAAACATGTTTATTTCATATTTACAAAGAGTCTGTGTAGCAATTATCAATATTTTCTGATATTAAATTTGAGCATAGTATATCTTTAAATACAGACATACATGTATTTTTAGCTCGACTATTCGATAAGAATAAGTAGAGCTATTGTAGTCACCCGAGCGTCGGCGTAACCACTTATGTCAAAGTTTTTGTAATACCTCAAATATTTTCAAAGTCCATTGACATATGGCTTTGAAGCTTTGCACACTTGTTCACCATCATGACCCCAACCTGTATCAAGCATTTTGACAGAATTATGCCTCTTTTTCGACTTAGAATTTTTTGTTAAAGTTTTTGTAATACCTCAAATATTTTCAAAGTCCATTGACATACATGTATGGCTTTGAAACTTTGCACACTTGTTTACCATCATGACCCCAACCTGTAGACAATAGGAGGTAACTGTATCAAGCATTTTGACAGAATTATGCCCCTTTTTCGACTTAGAATTTTCATTAAAGTTTTTGTAATACCTCAAATATTTTCAAAGTCCATTGACATATGGCTTTGAAACTTTTCACACTTGTTCACCAACATGACCCTAACCTGGAGGAGGTAACTGTATCAAGAATTTTGATAGAAGTATGCCCCTTTTTCGACTTCGAATTTACATTTAAGTTTGCATACCACCTCAGATATTTTCCTATTCTATTGACATCTGGCTTTGAAACAAGTTGAAATTTTATACTCTTCTTTGAGAGCATAATAGGACTCTCTTCAAGGCCTATAACTGTAACATGGTTTTAAAATAAAAATTTGCTCTATTGTTAACTCAAAAAATTTTACATTATCAAGGCTTTTTTACTGTCATTCAAGCACTAAGAATAGTCGAGCGTTGCTGTCCTACCGACTGCTCTTGTTCTTAGTCCATGTACACAACTTGTCTTAATTTGAGTTGTATATTGCATGCTGAATAAAAAAAAGAAACAACTGATATAGAACCCTAGAAATCCTATATCTGAAATATATTATACACATGTATATAAGATATCTGAAATATAATATATATATAAGATATCTGAAATATAATATATTTAAGGATGTTTCACATAAAATTGTTGATACAAAACTTTATCAAAATTAAGATTTTGAATCATTAATAATATTTATAACTATTTATGTTGAAGTCTGTGTGAGTGATCTATTTAAGTTTATATGTTAGAACAAGTATGAGTGATTTATAGTTTAGTTGATTTGTTAAAACAAGAATGTTAGTAAAGTTGTTGGGTATATATTTATAAAGTATTTGTTGTGGAATGTAAACCCTGGAATGGTAAGGAGCATGACTCCATGTATTGTGTTATTATTTATACATACATAATTATACCATCCCTGATTTGAGAATTAATGGCATACTGGTTAATGGCATGATAAAGTTCTGCATGCTAAAAATAAAACAACCCTGATCTGCAAAAATGCTATATCTGTCTATAAGAAATACCTATCATCAGTTTATACTGGTAGATCTTTTTCTATATCCAGGATATACTTTCAAGTTGAATAATTTTGCTTTTAAGTTTTGGTTTGTTTGACAGCATGCAGTAAAGTATAATAGACTTACTCTGGAATTATTTTGGGTTCTCCCCAGCCAATCTGTATAATACAAACAAGCATTTACAGTAATAGTTTTGATAATTAGCACAACAGGTAGACTAGTCTACTGTGACAGATAGTGCACCATAAAGCTATAATTGTAAAAGTTTGTTTGCACATTGTACCTACGGTTAGCTGGGAAAAACCCACATTTGCACAGTTCCGTATAACATCTATTTGTAAGATAAGTTAAGCACTTTTGACAGCTTATTTTCTTGGTGTTTAGCAAGATAAATTAGGGTTACAGTTTAATCAAGCTTATTCCAAGGCATGCTTTCCTTTTCCTATTTAATGTAAGAAGGCTGCCATAATTGCTGATGTAATCTTGAATCCAGATAATATATGCCCTGAAAACTGCCAGAAAAGTATCATCTTCACATGTACATGTATTAAGAACTGGTGTTTAGGTGCATGCATGTTCTGCTTTGCGTTTTGTACCTTAGTATTTCATATTAAGTTTAAGCAGTTTAGAAGAAATTTTTTTTTTCGAAGCACTTGGTTCTATATGTTTTCTGATTTTGTTTGATAATTGACAATTTTCTTTTTGGAACTTCTATATATGAGTATATTTAGATATAGAATTGTATACAATCCTTTTAAAATTGTTTAAATGAATAAATGAAATTGAATTTATATTACATGTAAAAGTCTGAACAAAATGCAATACATTTGATTTGTATGTCATCAATGTTTGCTAAAAAAAAATTATACTTGCCAAAATATTGACCTTAAATGCATTCTTACTGTTAAAAAAAGTGTATGAATAATTCAATATTCAACTTTCTTTAATAAAATTATGTGCTTTTTTAGCATTCCAGTGTGAACACATTACATGTAAACTGTCAGAACAAGAAAGGGTTTGCTCCCCTGCATATAGCTGTGATAGAGGATTATATGGAAGTACTTCGGTTACTGTTGAAGAAAGGAGCATTTGTCAATGTACAGACACATAAACATATAACACCGTTACATCTTGCCTGTTACCATAATCAGACTGAGGTTAGTAACTCTGTGTATGTCCTACATAGATAAAACACCGTTACATCTTGCCTGCTACCATTACCAGACTGAGGTAAGTTACTCTATTGATGTCCTACATATAATTATATGTGGCAGCATGGCCAAGTGGTTAACGCTTCGGACTAGTAATCTAATGATCGCTAGCCGCATGGGTTCAAACCCTGACAGGGGCAAGTCGTTGTTTCCTTGAGCAAGAAACTTTACACTCATTGCTCAGTACTGCTTGGTTCCAGGAACGGATTCGAAAGTGTGTTTATAAGCTTATAGCTTACTGCACAATGGAACTAAAATAAATTCTGTATAAACCGATTATAATATAATCCTATAATACCATTGCTAGCCTAGTAGCATAATAGATATCAGCAGGTGCCCCTGCCAACATTAGTTTTTTATGCCCCTCTCTTCACCCCCCCCCCCCCACCCCCCAGTGAAAAGAAGAAAAAACAAACACCAAATCTTGAAGTGAAATTCATTTTAAATAAATTAAAACAAGTATATGACTTCAGCAACTAACACCATTCTATGCTGTGTTACAGTCAATTTAAAATTAATTTAAGATGTAAAAAAAACCAGACATTTATAAAAACATCGTACATGTATGTTTACAGATGGTAGAATTGTTAGTTAAGAGTGGAGCTGATGTTAACATACGAGACCAGCATGGGGAGATAGCCTTACACCTAGCTGCTGCCAAATGTAACCTTCGTACTGTTACATTCCTCTTACAGGTAGTAAATGTCTTATCTGAATGATCATATCTGATTCTGGAAGATCTCAATTTATCAAATGTCAAAAAAAATGAACTATAATTAAAAAATTGACTAAATTTGAAGCTTTAATTTCTATATAAATCATCAATCTTGCCAAGGAATTAATAATAGCTAAATAAATTTGGTAGTTTTATCCATAAAACATTATTTCCAGTGATAATCTTTGTCTTTAACTACAAAATTCACATATTTTTAATTGTTTTTTTATGTACAGGAAATTGATTAAAAGAAACTGTTCACTGAAAAATTTGCCCAGCTGTCAAAAGAGTTGTTATGCTTTTATGTCATTGACAAAAATTTACTATAAAATTACGTGTTTGAATGTTTATTTAGCGCTCAAGCACAGTAAACCTTGGAAATGTGAATGGGAACACTACACTACATCATGCTGTATGTACAGGAAACCTAGACATTATAGGCATCCTCTTAAAGTATGGGGCCAATCCTGATGCGCTTAATAAACACCACAAGTCTCCTGCAGATATGACAAAGGTTTGATTTCTGTGCTGTTACTTCTTGTAAGATAAAGTTCAGTCGAAAGTTTTGCTAGATTTTGAGTGCTAGAAAGAGCTGAGCATTGTACCATTGGAACAACAAAATTTTTGAATTTATTATCTCTGCAACTATTAACCCGAGACATTGTTACAGTAGTCATTCATTCTGTGTCTTTGACATAAGCAATGTTTGCTTTTTCCTGTTAAAGTCTTCATGTTGAGATCATTTAGATTCTATAAATCATTCCTTGTAACTCTTATTATTAACTACACCCTATATTATAACAATATTTTATAATTTGAAATTAATAAATAATTGCAGGATCCTGTGATATTAGATATGTTGAAAAAGAAATCTGAGGAGTTACGCAACAAGTTGACCCCTGTAACCCCTACAATCCAACAGACATCAGTACCAAAATCTGAGTCTGCTCCAGAACATCTTAGAGATAAACAACAACAACAACAACAAGGTAATACAACTTCTATAATAAATTGTTGAGTGTGAGCAGCAGTTACATGAAGATGTCAGGGCTGTGTCAGCAGTGTAGATTTATGCCAACCTGCTGTTCTGTTTTATTGACTGCTTAAATTATACCCTTTTTTTATTACCATCCCTTAAGTTTACAATTTGTAATTCCAAATTTAAAGGCAAGTCCAGTATAGAAGTTAATTGTAGTAAATTTGATGGTAAATTTGACACCGCTTCCACATTTTAACTTTGATGTGAAGACAGTAGTTATTGTTTCTGCTTTATTTATAGTAAATATTTGTCAATTATCAATGGTGAAATTAGATTTATATGCATCGTCATATGAAAAAATGGGTTATAGAAATGTAACATCATTGAAAATGTCATGCAATAAATCATAATTGTTATTTTAAAGAGTTTATTTGTTCATATTAAAAGTGTTTTAAAGTACTGAAACTGTTTTCAATCCCTATGTTAACTTAAGAATTATTAACACTGTTTAATTAAACATTTTCATTGTTTCATGTTCTAAATTTTGCATGTCTGCTTTGGTTACTTTGTTTGAATTGCTTCGCAAGTTATTGCATTACTAACATATTCCAGGAAATGAAAAACTGAGAAAAATGGTTTCCAATGTTGAAGACAAGCATCTAAATACGCTACAACAAATTGGTCAAGGAATAAAAAAAAATTTGACAGACAAAGAAAACTTAAGAGAAGTCAGACGTTTGACCACAGCTCTCCAGCTATAAATGATGCTAGTCTTAAAAACTAGCTTTATTCCATTACAACCACTTTTGATAAAGAGAAAAGTTTTACGAAAGGCTCAGACGTTAGATAGGACGTCCTTGAGTTTAAAGTCATTAGAACATTCCATGTCTATACAGCACTTTGATTTCCACAGTTTAAAAACGATGTGGAGTCTGTAGATAAAAGTAGTCCTCTTCATTTATATTCATTAACAAGAACTTTTAGTTGCTATAGTGACTATTCTGATACACCCACTGAAAGAACAACACAAAGATATACAGCGGAGGTAACTCTGATTTTACTGAAAGAACTATTGAAAAGGTAGAATATTCTGTAATAAAGGAAGAACTGTAGAAGAAGTTGATAAAAATATGCATAAAGATAATAGTGACCTTATTGATCAGATAGTGGAAGAGACCGATCAAGATTGTGATAAAATAAAAAGTGATAATGGAATAACAACAGGGGGTAATAAAAGGGAAAATATGTTACAATCTTATAGTGAAAATGTAGATTTAAACAGACAGATTCCTGAAAGCAGTGCAATAAAAAGTTTAGTCGAAATTCCTAGTAGTCAAAATGAAGGTGTTGAGAAACCTTTAACTGAAATTAAAACAAATGAAGCTGAAGCTGAAGGTCATGCATGTGAAGGTGAAGAATCGTTTACTGAAATCCGTGATGAATTGTCCTCTGAAAACCATGACGAATTGTCTACTGAAATTCAAGGAACCAAACAAGCTGAGGTCAATGTTAATGAAATAGATACTATCCAATGTGATGCAACACCTAAAATCCCACATGATGAAAACTATGCAGATAGAGAAGTCATTGAAGCTGTAGATGATGAGAAACATAAAACCAATTAGCCAAATATGGATATTGAAGATGTCTGTGATAAAGACAATATATCAGAAACATGCAAAGATAAAACTGCTGGTACAAAAACATCATGTGATATGATCCAAAGTAATGATACTACTGGAATTGAAAACACTGAGGACATTTAAAGTAAATATGCAATGGTAGACTAGCAATGATAGAACAATTTTTAAAAGTACTATAAAGACAAGATTGGGACAAAGATAATTTTATTGAATCAAATTTTGGTTTCAGTTTATATTGACAATATGCAAATTACTAAGACATTGTTATTTCTCTGGGATAATATGTTTTATTTGCAGTTCATGTCAAACCATGTATTGAAGCAGTTCATGATTGTACTAAAATATTGCCATGTATTATATTCACCATGAAATATACAGGATAAAACAAGGAAATTACAAGATGAAATCATTGCAATGTATGTTTACTCCAACAATTTTATATCAAATAATCTTGATAATGATAAAAGTACATTTGTATAAAATTCATCATGTTATGGACTATGCTTATCTTTAAAGGCTTTTGTAATTTGCTTCTGTTAAAGAGTTTAATCTTTTGATTGATTTCTTGATTGTTTTTTCAAAAACTTTTGTATTGCAACTCAAAAACATAGTAAAGTTACTGGGAGTATTGTCGGCATGAAGCTACTGTTTGGTTTAAAAAAAAAACTCCGGTGAAATGATAATCATTATATTGTTAAGAAGAATTTTTGCATTTTATGTTTATATGGATTAGATCAATGCTGAAAAACTTATGTTTAATATTTTTGTATATTTAGAAACTTTTAAGTGTTACGAAAGCATTGCATTAAGTGCTATTTGAGTGATATTTTTTTTCATCTTACAGTTAAAAAAAAAAAGCATTTTAAATTTGCTGGGTTTTGAAATTTGACTTTAGATAAAATGCTGATTATAATTAATAAATGGAGAGGATACAGATGTTAAGTGGTTTTATCAATGTATAAGTTCAGCTATTTTGAATGATGGAACATAGAAGTATTTTGTATCTTGTAATGTACGTTAGTTTTGATTATCTCAATGACAGTACAAATAATTATAACAATTTTTGAAATCAAAAGGTGATTTAGTAAATGAAAAGTTGATATGTAAATTATATGATGACTAATTATGTGCAATAAACTATCATTGAAGTGCTATAGTTATATATTCATTGTACACAGTCATATATGTATAGACTTTATATCAAAAGAATCATGACTTAATTTTTTAACGCAGATTTGATTTTTTAACACACGATAAACTGTTTGAAGGGCATTATTGTATGTTTTTTCTAAAACTGTCTAGACTGCCATGAGATTTAGAAGGGTATTTATCCAGCAAATGTGTTCTTTAAGTGCCAGTATGTCTGTACAAACAATGTACAATTACTTGACCAAATTGAAAACGAGGCTGAGCATGATGATCTAATTATAGCGAAAACAAACAATGGCGTCTAATGTTGATTTTTGTCTAGATCTAGTGATGATTCACACTCTGAGAAATTACTCTTGATTTATCCCTGTTAATAAGCTTTATTATCCAGAACATCAGTCGTTCTGCTCGTTAGTGGTTCTGCTCGTTAGTGGTTCTGCTCGTCGGGGGTTCTGCTTGGGTGCCCACTTGTGCTTGAAAAAATGCACGGAAGGGCATCTAAGGTCTTCCTCCACCGTGCATTTTTATAATGTAACAGTAAAGCTGGAAGGTGTGATGTAAAACCCAACTTATTTTAGGATCACTTTTGGTCATAATGTCTTTTTTCCCTTGCAGTGCTTATGGGGTACATTTGAAATCCAGAAATTATTCCATCCTTCGATTTGAATAATTTCTAAATGTGATAAGCTAGTATCAGGGTTTTATTTTATGTGCATATTATAATGTTATTGACATTATGATGTAATTGACATGTTTGTAAAACATGTAGTAAAATGTTGATAATTTTGTTATCTATAAATGTTATGTTACTTATAATACACAACTATTAAAAGTTATAATGAAAATAAATAATTTTGAATATATTTCTTGTTGACTTTGATGTTTTCATTTTCTATTTGATTACAAATAAATCATATATCATGCAGTCAAATACAACTTCTTACATCTAAATTCTTATTGGAGGCAATTTTTTACCATGTAAGAATTTCCTTGTTATCCAGCTCATAGCTTGAAGAAGGTTCGTTTTTAAAACTCCCTAAGATGGTTCTGTGTATCTAGAGTAATTCATTAAGATGATCGTAGGGGCTGTCTCCATCAGTAAAACTTCTTGACTTGACTGCTGGAACCAAAATTGATAAGCCTTATTTCCACAAGTATAGAGCCAGGCCAGCCTGTACATCTGTGAAGTCTGACCAGGCTCTATACAGTTGGTAACACTTATTTTGGTATTTGATATTGATGTCCCTGAAACTTTTAATGGACTGTTCCAAATTCAAAGCAAGGTGAATCAATTTATTACATATTTGTAATATGTATATTTCAGCAGGTTGAGGGCAATGTATCCAGATTTCAGAATAATGAAACACATTCACTTCTTAGATTTTCTCACAGGTGGACAGTTCCAAAGATAACGAATGAACAGAATTGATATAAATTATGCATGTACATGGTCAGTTTCATCATTGACTTTTCTGGTGTACAAAGATCTTTGCTTCCTGTCCATGCATTATTGCATTGCTATGTGAAATCCGGCCACAGTTATTTGCCTTCCGTTGATCACAATGAGGAGGTAAATCCACATAAAAGATTTGCTCAGAGTGTTATTAAAGTTGCCACTGGGCTCAATGTTTATATAGAACATACAGTGAAAATAATTGTGGTCTGAGACCTGATGTGCTACTTGATAATTATTACCTTTGTAAAATTTAAGGTGTTCATAGTTACTTCCCTTGGAATGTTCATGGTGCAATACAGGCCTTACAGACCTACATCAAATTCTGCAATAAATATAGAAGTTAAATGTGTTACTGTTATTATAATATTGTAACATATTTGTATAGCCAAGATTGTGTGATATAACCCCCAAAAAGAGAAAAACCTTTGATTTACAATGATAAGTCTTTTCAGTTTTACCTTGAAAATATAATGTATATTTACCTTGGGTTGAGGTATGAATCACTTTACTTGTTGAAAATGTTTATATTATCTTTGTAAATATCTTAATTATACTGAAATGTTAACATGGTCTATAAATTTTCTTAAAAGTTTGAGAAATATAATTTCATTAATTTTTTTTTTGCCACATTTTATGTCCCTTCTACAATTTAAGATTTTCAATAGAAGTCAATATCTAGATTACCTGGAAGAATTTATGTAAAAAAACAAATTATTAAAAAACAAATTCATATATAATATTTAACACTCAAATTTCAAAAGTTTTGAGATTTCTACTTAGCTTCTATTTCTAGATACTCGGGTCATCATAAGGGTAACATGTTACATGTTTTCATTGGTCATATTTTGTCAGCGACCAAACTTATGTAGAGGATGTTAAATGTGTGTTACTAGGGTTCAGTTCTGAATTCATTTAATGATATAAAATAAAATTATATGAGCATCAGTGGTATAATACCAATGTTACCGAGCCGCAAAAGTGGCACATGTATCTGTAAAAATTTATTATTTTTTAATGCCATCTTTGAGAGCCCAAAATTATATCGTCTGAGTGAGAGTTTAATTTTAAAGGAGCTCCACTCAGCTGCTGAGGTCAAAGGCCTAAAAAATTAAAAAAATTTAATTCTTGCTTAGATCAAGTTAAACACTTAAAATGGAAAAATCTGCAAAGGATAATAAAGAAATATGCTCAGAATTAAACGGAAAATCCATTTTTAGCTCACCTGTCACAAAGTGACAGGGTGAGCTTTTGTGATCGCTTTTCGTCCGGCGTCTGTCCGTCCGTCCGTCGTCCGTCCGTAAACTTTTACTTTAAATGACATCTCCTCATAAACCACTAAGCCAATTTCATCCAAACTTCACAGGAATGTTCCTTTGGTGGTCACCTTTGAAAATTGTTCAAAGAATTTTATTCCATGCAGAACTCTGGTTGCCATGGCAACCGAAAGAAAAAACTTTAAATATCTTCTTTTAAAAAACCATAAGAGCTAGAGCTTAGATATTTGGCATGAAACATCTTCTAGTGAGTGTCTACCAAGTTTGTTCAAATAAAAGCCCTGGGGTCAAAATTGGCCCCGCCCTGGGGGGTCATTGATTTTCCCTATATGCATATTAGTAAAAAATTTAAAAAAATCTTCTTTTAAAGAACCCAAAGAGCTAGAGCTAAGATATTTAGCATGAAACATGTTCTAATGGGTGTCTACCAAGTTTGTTCAAATAAAAGCCCTGGGGTCAAAATTGGCCCCCCCCGGGGGGTCATTGATTTTCCCTATATGCATATAGTAAAAACTTAAAAAAATCTTCTTTTAAAGAACTCAAAGAGCTAGAGCTAAGATATTTAGCATGAA